GTACTTCCCTAGTTCTCCACTGCTGAAATGTCTTGTCAAGTCCATGTCAAACCTTCCTCCTCTCTATTATCACTCTCATGACTTTCTTCTACCCAGACACTGTGGCAAGGGTCACTGAGCTCCTTGAGCCACAGTTGGCTCTTGTTTCCAGAGTAGCTCAGTCTCATACAATTCATCTCTCCTTATTGTTGCATTCGAAGATTTGAGGAGCATGAAATCTATTTTCTAATGCTAGCCTTCCCATAGGAAGTATAGGGTTATCCCAAACTGAATTGTCAGTTTGTCACCATGGCTACCTTGTGGTTGTGGCTTCAACTTCCTCTTTCTCCATCTCCATGGTGCTGTAGACTGGTTTCTCCTTTCCTCTGTTCTCCTTTTCTCTGTGTTTTTTAGCTTCCCTGCCTCATCTCACCTTTCATATTCCCAATGCTTTTCTTTTCTTTCTGTCTTCAGAATATAATCTCCATCTGATTCTTCTCAGAGTCAAATGGAGGAAATATATATAACCTGTTATATAATACATGAGTTTAAAGCTATACCTGTCCTTAGAAGAAAAGCCTTACTTTATCTGCATTCCACATTTGATACTTCCTATCACTTGGTCCCTAAAGACTCTCCAAATTCCATTGTGACTTATCCATTGACTCTTCCTAGTCTTCAGTAACAACCATTCAGTAATCTCCTTCTAGGATGCACAACTTCTAGGTGCCCTGCATAAGTGAGATCATATGGTATTTGTTTTTCTCTGCCTGACTTATTTTACCTAACCTTAATGTTCTATCTATGTTTGTGTAAGTGAATGGACTTCATTATTGTTTTATGGCCAAATAATATTCCATTTTGTGTGTTTGTGTGTGTGTGTGTGTGTAGATTCTATTTTCTTGGCTACTATAAATAGTTTGGCAGTAAACATGAAAGTGCAAGTGTTTATTTGATATATTGATTTTATTTGAATATATACCCAGTTGTGGGATTCTGGATCATGTGGTAGTTCTATTTCTAGTTTATTGAGGAACCTTTATACTATCTCCATAAAAATTATAGTAGAGGGATGCTTTATGTCCAAACTACAATAGAGGAAGTCACATTAGACATGATCTTTATAGCATCGTTACTAAAAATTTATCATTTAGATGCTAAACATGATGATACTTGATGGCACATGACTGTAAGTCATAATACAATTTAACTGTAAGTCAAATTTCCTTAAAAACATCCCTCCCTACTCAAAGGTATAACCCAAATGAACATTTAAAATACTATTTATCAAAACAAATTTCAGAAAATGGAAACATGCCTTTTATTTCTTATTTATTTATTTATTTTTTGGTGATGGTGCCATTTTTTTCTTTGCTTTTGGCCTTCTTGGTTTTTTTTTAATTAATAAGTTTTTTAAATTGTGAAAATACCATACAGAGGGGTTACAGTGACATGAGCAAGGAAATGAGTACATTTCATATCAAGTATTGTTGCCTCCTCCTTTTTTCCCTTTACCATCCTTGCCCTCCCATCTCCCCTCCACCAAAGTTGTAAGTTCGTTTTTCAACATAACATCTTGTACATCTCATTGTTGCAATGAGTCCACCTGTATCCCTATTTAAACAATTTGTTTTTTCCCTTCCCCTCCACAAATTATACCAACATCAAATACAGTGGACTTCTGGGGTTTGGTTGTTTATTTTCCCAGTCCTGGGGCTTGAACTAAGTGCCTGGGCACTGTCCCTGAGCTTCTTTTGCTCAAGGCTAGCACTTGACCACTTGATCCACAGAGTCATTTCTGGCTTTTTCTGTGATATTGAGGAATCAAACCCAAGGCTTCATGTACGTTAGGAAAGCACTCTACCACTAAGCACATTCTCAACCCTGGTTATTATTCTTTTGTCTTTTGAAGGGGGACAAGAGAGGGTGCAGAAATGGAGGAAGGAAGGTTGAACAAATGCAGCCATCAGCAGTAGTCACTATGCAGAAAATGAACTCTGCAACTTGTGGGCCAGGACAGGAGGGGGAAACTGGGGGAAAGCAAAGTAAAGGATCCCTAAAGCCAAAATAATGCCATTTCAAGCTCATCATTTTTACTAAGTAATGTGGGCAAGGTACTTAAGTTCTTTCTTACTCATTTTTCTCACTCATAAAACAAGGATAACGCTCTCAAAATGTTTCTGTGAAGTTGCTAACACATATTTGAACTTACCTGTCGCATAGTGAGCACTTAAGACATTCTGGCATATTTTTAAGGGACTTATTTGTTAAAATGTTTCATATAATTGGAATTGTTATCATGTTCCTAGAAAAATAAAGCCAGTTGTTTGTGGTAGCCCAGTTTCACATGTAAATTTTGCCCATTACTAGAAGTAATAACATGGAAATGTAACTTAATCTCTCTCTGTCCGTTTCTTTACACATAAAATAGGATTGCAAATTATGGCACAAAATAATGTGTTTCCCTATGACATTTTCCAATGTATGCCAGAAAGTTTGATCTTTTCCATATGCCCTCATCATTGTTCTTTGTCTCTTTCTTCTCCTATTTCCTCCCCATCAAATAGTTTTTTATTCAGGTCCATGGCTTTTTGCTTATTTGTATTTATGTGTCTAGATTCTACACATTAGAGAGCACATACAATATTTGTCTTTATGAGACTGGCTTATTTTACTTAATTTCACCAACTTTCCTGAAAATGATATAATTTTATTCTTCTTCATGACTGAGTAATATTTCATTGTAAATGCATGTCACATATTTTGATATTTTCATTTTAATTAGCATAAATTAATTGTACAAAGGATTTTTATTGTAATATTTACATACACATATATAATTCATTTTGATCAAATTCTTCCTTCCTTCCATCATTCCTCCTTCCCTTCCTCTCTCCTTCCCTTTCTCCTTCTCTCTCTCTTTTTCCTTTTCTTTTTCCTGGTGTTACTAGGGTTTAGCTCAGGGTCTCAAGATTGCTAGTCAGGTGCTCTACCACTTGATTCATGCCTTTAGCCCTTGACCCCCATTTTTCCTCCCTCATATGCCACATGTTTTTTTTATCCATTCAACAGTTGATGAATAATTAGCTGCTTTGATTTGTATCACAATAAGCATCCATGTACAGGTATGTCTATTTCATCTTGACATTTCTTTGGATATATGCCTAAGAATTGTATACCAAGATCATATGGTAGTTATATTTTTATGTCTTTGAAGAATTGCCATACTGGTTTCCATAGTAGGTACAGTATAGTGCTAAAGGTTCCATCTCACACAACATTCCTCTCTCTCCTCTCTCTGTCTCTTTCTATCTCAATTTCTGACTTTCTTTCTCTTTCTCCCTTTCTTTCACTTTTTTCTTTTTCTTTCCCTTCCTCCTTCCCTCTCTCTCTCCCTCCCTCTTTCCCTTTTTTCTTCCTCCCTCCCTCTCCTTCTTTCTTTCTCTTTCATTTCTTTCCTTTTTAATTTTAATAACATTTTATGTAATCTGATAGCTTCAAAATATTATCATTTCAATATGCAATTAGCATTATATACAGTAACATTTTACCTGGATAGTAAGTAGCCAACATAGCCTTCAACATCCTGGGTTTAAGTATTCTGTCCTAACATAATTTCAACATTCTCTTCCAAAAGTCAGTATCACAAGGCCACTCTTTTTCCTAAAGGAGTCAATCAAACAAAATGGCTCATTTGCTTCTTTCTTTCTTTCTCTAGATATGAACTCAGACTCTCATACTTACTTACCTTGCTTGCTTAGCTGGTATTTTCCCACTTGAGTCACAACTCCAGTCTTACGTTTGGCTGGTTATTTTTGGAGATAGGATTCTGCCAGCTGTTTGGTATGGGCTGGCTTTCAACTTTGAGTCCCTTGATCTCAATCTCTTAAGTAGATAGAATTATAGGTGTGAGCCACCAGTGCCCAGTTTTCTTGATGATAGCCTTTCTGACTGAGATGAGATAGAATCCTAATATTGTAATTTACATTTCCTTATGGCTAAGGATGTTGACATTTCTTCATGTGGTTTTTGTGGCTATGTGTACTTCTTTTGAAAACTATCTGTTTAATTCACTTGCTAATTGGATTTCTAATTCACTTGTTAATTGGGTTATTATTTTGTTGTTGTTTGGTTATCTGAGCTCTTTATATATTTTAGATATTAACCCCTGGTAAGATGTATGGCTTGCAAAATTTGCCTCTCATTCTATATGCTGTTTGATCACTATGATAATTGCAGAAGTGTTCAAGTTGATGTAATACTCTCCTTTGTTACTTCTTGCTCTTATTTCCTGAGCTAATACATTCTATTCAAATATGCTTAGATTTTGAAGTATTTTCCTTGTGTTTTCCTGCAATAGTTTCAAAGTTTTCTGTGGTTGATCCATTTTTAATTTCTTTTTATGCAGGGTGACAGGGGTTTAAGTTCAGTCTTTTACATGTATCTATCAAGTTTTCCCAAAATAATTTGTTTGAAGAGGCTGTCTTTTTTCCAATGTATGGTCAGTGTTGGTTTGTTGGTTTTTTTCATCATTGTTAAGAATCAGATGGCTGTGGCTCCATAGTTTTATTTCTGGGTCTTCTATTCTAGTGGTCTATGTGTCTATTTTTGTGCTTGTACCAAGTAATTTTTGTTACTATATCTCTGTAGCATTATTTGAGGTTAGGTATTGTGATACTTCCAGCACTTCTTATTTTTGCTCAAGATAGCTTTAGCTATGCATGGTCTCTTAATTTTGGGGACATTTTTTCTATTTTTATGAAGAGTGACATTGGGATTTTTATGAGAATTACATTGAGAGATTCTAGATATGTGAGTGGTCTATGTGTTCTTTCAGACTAAAGGACAGAGGTGGAGAGAAGGAGAGGCAGATAAAAATACTTCAAACTTCACTTGGGCTGTGGGCTCTTTGTCCTCTTCTCCCAGCTTAAAGGAAGTCACATCTAACTGGGCTGGGCCTCAGATATTTCCTGTCACGTTCTTAAAAGCAATGATAAGATAGTCCGGATTTTCTTTCCTAGAATTCCCAGATTCTATTGACAACTATGTGGTTTGCCTTACTGGAAAGCGTGTCAAGCTCAGACCTCCCAAACCACAGGCAAAGACAAAGATATACTCTGTTGAATGGAAGCTCCAACGGCCCGTGAATTCTTCTGCAATACTGACATGGAAGAATAATTCTACTCAGATGCATAGTTCTGACAGTAGATTTGGTTTTGACAATGAAGACTTAACTCTTCTCATTGAAAGAGCTAAACCACAGGACAGTGGTCTGTATACAATGGAGGTCACAGAGGAGTCTGGGAGTGTTTCCACTGTGTCCTTCAATGTGTCAGTATTGGGTGAGTTTCCAAGACTGCTCATTCATCCTTCTGATTCCTGAATGATTTGTACTTTTCAGTACCTTTCTGATCATAATCTCTACTTCCAGATCATGTTGAGAAGCCCCAAATGTGGGCGCAGTGGAAAGCCCTTGATGAAGGGATATGTCAAGTGGCTCTGTTCTGCCTGGTCCCTAGGGATGACGATGTGAGTTACACTTGGTACAGAGGGAGTGAGGTGATTGCCACACAGAAGAACCATACCTACGTGGAGGAGCAGATCCATGTCAGTGGCCCACACACATACACCTGCAATGTCAGCAACCCTGTCAGCTGGGACAGCCATTCCTTTAACCTCACTCAGGGCTGTCTGGGAGACTCCTTGAGTAAGTAGAACACTTTAGGCTATAAAGGACTTGAAAGTGTTGTGCCACACATCCAGGTTCATGTGTAAGAGATGCTTGATTGTGAGATCCTTTGGCTTCTTCCCTCAATGTCTTGTAGCCCCTCCTCAGCAGGGATCTGGCCTCTAGGTACATTTTTTTAAAATAAAGCCAGGCCTGTATTAGTCTGGACAAGAATTGTATCATTTTCCCTCCACATAGGGAATGTCTACTTAATGGATGAGGCCTATAATGGCTTCTGACCATTATCTTCTTGCTGTGAGATACTTATGAAGACCTGCTTCCTCCTGAGTGATAATTTACCTCAAGCCAAATAGTTTCCAAGGAGTAATGATACTGTAAAGCAATGCCATGGGTCAGTGAGATCATTAAGAAAATCACAAGGTACCTAAAAGAGTTCTGGGCTTATTGCTTATTCAAAGGTTTGCCTGGATTAAATTTGAATCTGTTTATTAGATCTTATAAGGACTTAATGTACCACTAGACTTGACATTAGGAAATAATATAACCACAGAGTTTCTAATAAAACTAAGCACTTGTGAACAAAAAAGAAACAAGCTAGGCTGAGGAAAGGTGTGGGGATAAGGATACTGGCTTTGGCCCAGGCCAATCATGGCTTCATCATTCTTCAGTTCTGTGATCCCAGGCAGATTCATTAAACTTGGGGAGTTTTCACTTTTCCCCTGTATAAAATGGGAAAGGGAATAGTAAGTAGCTCACAGGATTGCTGTGAAGATTAAATGAGATCATTGTAAGAGCTAGTCAGTTGGTACCTAGAAAAACAGTTTCTTATTTTTCCCTCCTGTTAGTGGGATTATACATAAGGCTGTATGTGTAATCCAAATGCTAAATGTAAAAGTTCACCTGAGGAAGAGCAGTGGAGCCAGAAAAATCAGGAAGGTAAAATGGAAGACTTTCCTGGCACAAAGTAGGTGTGCAATGAATGTCTATTGAGTTAATAGCCATAGCTGAAACATTTTCTGTGCAAGATGCTTTATACATATCACAGTACATAATTAACTGCCACAGGTTAATAATGTTCCTTTTTACAGATGAGAAAAGTGAGGCTCAGAGCACTAAATAAACAGCAAAAAGCTTCTAGAATTTATAATCTGGACCAGAGCCATCAAATATTACTATCTGACATCACTCAGGGGAAGTCCCTCAAGTGGGCAGAAAGATAACCTTGATGATGAATTAATAACATATGAGGAGGCCACTACACCAAAGAGGAGGGTTTTGTTTTACTTTGTTTGAATATTGGAAGTTGAACTCAGATCCTCTACCATGAGTAATACCCCTAGTTCATTTTATTTTATTTATCTTTGTTTCATTTTGCTTTGTTTTATTTTATTTTGGGATAGGGTCTTGATAACTGTTGCCAGGTTTAGCTTTGAACTCATGATCTTCCTGCCTCCGGAATAGCTAGTATTATAGGCCTGTACCCTCATGTGTTGGCTAGGGAATGGGTTTTGAGACCATCCCTGTAGCTATGAGAAGCAAGAAGAGGAGGAGTGAGGACTTAGTTCTTCTGCATTCTGTATTCCTCAGCATCCCGATTTCTGCTCTTTTTGGTGATCATCCTGGTTCTAATCATACTGTTCGTTGGAAGCCTGGCTAGCTGGTATGTGTGGGAGCAGAAGAAGAAGCAGTCACGTAAGTGCCATGGCCTTGAAGGGGACCAGTCCCTGAGGCATCAAATGCCTTGTGTCCAGTAGAATGTGTCAGGATGAACAGCCTGTCATCTTCCCAGAGGAGTGTTGGGATATGTGTGCATGCTTCATGGAGGGCAGCAGTGGCTGCACGATATTCACAGGCTGATGCTCAGTATGTAGATTTATGTGCAGGTGCTGAGTTTGATGGAAGAAGGATGTCAAGGGTAGGTGCTCCACTGTGCTCTTTGTGTATCCTGGAAGAGCACTAATCTATCTCCTTTCTGGAGCCATTCTCAAAGACTTGGTAGAAGTGTGGAGGTCTAAACAAGAGACTCCCTGAAGGTTTTTGAAGTGCTGTTCTTTGCTTCCTTCCTACAACAGAGACCCGTTCCCAGAGAATTCTGACTGTTTATGAAGATGTCAAAGACCTGCAAGTCACGAGGAATCAAGTATGGCACTCTTGTGGGACTCTCTTAACTGGTCTGCAGGATGATCTTTGGAGAATGGCCATTCAGAATAGGGTGACAAAGAGAAGTGGACAATTATCATTTCAAAGTGATGCTCAGCTTTCTCTCATCTATTTTTCCTAATGTTTCAAAGCTCTAGTTATAGAGGAAAAGGGAAAAGAGAAGGGATCAGGAAAAATGAAAAGGAGAGAGAAATAATGGTAACATGATGCAGAATTATACCTGCTGAGAAGGGATGGAGCACAACTCCCAGATTGCACCTCATTTCTGCCCAGTCTTGCTAGCAGGACTGAATGCCCTCTTCTATTTATTCTCAAAGATAAGAACTTATTTCTGTGGATTCCTTGATCATTACCCAAGCTGGTAGGCATGATCAGTCAAAGCATACATTTTGTAGCTGATGCACTGGTCCATGATCATAGTCTTTTGGAAAGAAGAGGCCCAAATCTGGCTGAGATACCAGAGTGAGAAATCAGTTTGGTTGAGAGTCAATGGACCAGAGGCTTCTTCTCATCAGCTCACTATGACCAGCTCTTCAAGTCAATCAAGAATGTAGACAGGAAGGAAGTTACAGAGGGACTGATGCCTCCATTACTGTGCCCCTGAGCAGGGCAGGATGTGGTGGCAGCCCTTTGGAAAGGCCCAGACCAGTAGGCAGTGCTAAGGGCAGGAGAGTATGGATGAAGGGTGAGGGGAGTAAGGAAGAAGTGACCTTTTCCCACTGCCATGGAGTACTTGTGGTGGTCTTTTTTGGGGGGAGGGGGAGTCCGGTTGTAGGGCCTGAACTCTGGGCCTGGGTGCTGTCCCTCAGCTCTTCAGCTCAAGGCTAGTGCTCTATCACTTGAGCCACAGCGCCACTTCCGGGTTTTTTCTTTTTGCTTATGTGGTGCTGAGGAATCGAACCCAGGGCCTCAGGCATGCAAGGCAAGCGCTCTACCACTGAGCCACCTTCCCAGTCCCCTTGTGGTGGTCTTCTGTGCCAGTCACATGGGGGTAGCATTGTTAAGCCTGGCAGAACAGGCTGTTAGCTCAAAGAGAATGAGGGCAGATCCTCTATTTCATTATCTGGGAATACTGTGGTGTGAAAACCAGAAAGGAGAATGCTTCTCCTACTGCTATGGGGCTGTGGTACAACTTCCTGTGAATCCACACATATAGACACAGATGCCCAAAAGCTTGCTGGAAACAGCCTTTTCTTCCAAAATGAAGATGCTTTAAATGAGGTCAAACTGAATGGTCACAGGAGAAAAGCTCCATTTAGAGCAATGGAAACCTCTTGGGGATTCAGTTTATGTTGTCCTTAACTTGGGAGGGGGGGGAGGGTTGTCCCTGCCTGGCAGCTGTCAACCTAGCATCTCTCCATTGTCCTCCAGTTTTGTCACAATGGCCTGAATCCCAAACTTCATGTGTTTTTACTTGGTCCCAGCTCCCACCTGTCTGGAGACAGTTCACCTGGGCTTGGACAGAAGAGAAAGCAACAAACTCCCATTTCATGAGAGATGCTCATGACCCTACCTGCCAAGGATGGTTTACATTTCTCTGCTTCTCAGCTTTGTCTTGCTTCTCGGGAGCTTAGCTTCTATCTTGCCTGATGAACCCTTCTGGTCTCTCTCACTCTCCACCTAGATCTACCAAACTAGCAGTAGGCACCCAGGGATATGCAGGATGAAATATTTCTGCCTCTACTCTCCTATGGGGGAAAAGCATGAGGAGGGCAGCAGGAAGGGCCCAGTGCCCTTGCCCTTGACCTTGGGGCCAGGGCTCCACCCAGCACTGGAGCCACTCAGAGGCTGGTTTGAGGCTAAGAAGCTAGCCATAAAGGCTGGATCTCAAAGGGATCTCTTAAAAATGTTTAAACCCTCTGAATTTCAGTGCCTCTAGGAACAGCTCAATTACAACACTACCTAGAGTTCTGCCAGTTGTCAGTGCTTCTGTAGCAAATTTAATCCAGAAGTCAGAAAAAGCACAGGAGAGTTTCTAAGTTACTGAAGTGAAGGCAGGGACAAGGATTCCTTTGGGCATGTGGCTTGAATCCTATCACACCTGTGTGGTTCCTTACTCCTGATACTGCTCCACCACTAATTGCTCTTCGTGTCTTTTCTCATTCTGGGGTATCCAATGATGAGGCTCTCTCCATTCTACCATCTCCTTTCTCCTCCATCCTACCATCTCCTTTCTCCTGGAGTCCCCTTTTCTTTGTGTTGTCTCTCTACTCACTCCAAACCTGGACAGGATCTGCTGTCTGCTCTTGTCACCTCATGTTTCTAACTGTTCCTTGTACAGAAGCAGAATGAAGAGCAGAAATCTCCTGGAGAAGGGAGCACCATCTACTCTATGGTCGAGCTCCAGGTACCACTCTGGTTTCTCTAATCCCTTCCATTCTTTACCCATGGGGCTTCCTAATTCATACCCTTGAATGGCAGAATAAGATTTTAGTGCTCCCCAGGTCCAGAAGACAGTGTCCCCACTGGTGCATTAACAAATTATCTGGGGTAGTATGTTCTGGAGTGTCTTAACACAGCTGAAAGCCCAATGCAAGCCCTCCTCTTTCTCTCAAACTTGCCAGAAGGCCTAGCCTATCTTGTTACGGGACCTAACTTTTGTTTTCTTTATGGCTAATTCTAATAATTGAAGCCTCTATAGTATTTATCCCCTTTACCCATTAAAACTATTTTCAGAGCTGGTGGCTACACAAGAGGCTGAGATCTAAGGACTGAGGTTGTCAGCCAGCTCAGACAGAAATGTCTATGAGATTTTATCTCTGATTAACTAGAAAAAAGCTAGAAATGGAGATATGGATCAAGTGCTAGAGTGCCAGCCTTGAAGGAAAAGCCAAGTGAGAGTGAGAGGCCCTGAGTTCAGGCCCCAGGAAAGAATCGACATGCTAGTCCCTTTATCTTATTTAGAATTAATAGTAATATTCATTTTTTAATAAATCTCATGTGTTAGCCTCATAATGTAGTCCTAATACTTTATAGGTTAAACCCCATATTATAGATGAGGAAACTGAGATACAGGTTAACTAATATGTGTAAGACTGTATGGCTGGGTAGTAGCAAAGCTGAGCCAATGGCTTCTGAATTTGTACTTTACCTCATTCTACACTGGCTCTAATATCCTAAGACAACAGAAATTTGCTCATCTTCTAATACTGATACCTAAGATGACTTTATTGAGAAGTGAGGGCAGGAAATCTCTTCCAAAGGATGATAAAAATTTGTATAAAAATGGAAGATCAGGAGCAGCAATGTTCTCAAGCTTCTTGGACTACATAGTATGTGCTCAAGAAATTGCATTATAATTAATATCTTCCAACTCTCTGGCTTCAGCCACACTGAACTCTAGGGAAAGGAAAACAAGAACTCTTGGACTAGAGTATCCTGTGAAAATCACCTTCTTCTTCTTGACCATATTAAAAGGGAGAATGGCTTTATCTGTCCTAGGGGACACTTATTCCAGGTCTCATGTTGCCAGAGGGAAACATTAAGCTGTTGAAGGAAAACTAAGCTGTTGAGGAAAAGTATCCTAGAGATCTTGGCCATTCCTGTGCATACAGTATTTTGATTTGGAATTTTCAGTCTTCTGTAACCTTATCTATGGCCGGAGAAAATTCCGGTCCTTTCCATGTTACAGGAGTGGAATAAGGATCAAGAAAGAATATATACACAAGACACATGCTCAACATATAGGAGCTGTCATTAGTTGTGACATTAGATTGACAGACCTCCTGGCTAGTCTAAGGTTCTTTCCACTAACACAGCTTTCACCTAGGCAGGGTTGAGGCAGAGGGATGAAGGAGATAATCTCCCTAGGGTTGTTTTGAATCTGTTTCTGAAATACTTTTGTCTTTTAATTAGTGTTCAGCCTCCACATCACAAGAAACTACTAAAACATTATATTCAATGATACATCATTCTCGGAAGGTGAGTCTCATCCTCTGGGGATACAGATGTGTATTTTGCATGTGCACATGTGGGTGTGTTTGCAGAGTAAGTGTGCAAGTCCAATGAGTTGTCTTCCATTGTGAATGTCTGAGCAGCTTCTTTTAAATGTTAATGGACCAAGAAGAAGAAGTACCTTTCTGCTTCTGGCTAAAGAAAAATAATAGTTGTGAGACTCAGCCATGGATTATAGGGTTTCCTCGGACTTCTTGAGAGAGACAAAGGACAGAGATAGAAAAGAGGTCTTTTGTGCAGCGATGAAAAGATCTTTAGTAGGCCAGCTGGGGCTGTGGTGAGAGAGATACTGGATGTTTTCCATTATCCAGTATTTCCTAGAGTTGGAAAAGTGGGATGCAGTAGAGAAACACAACATTGACTTCCAGGGTTCAAAGGTTCTTGTTAGTCCTCTGATGGTGCAGGTTTCTGGACTAGGGTAGCTATAATGGTTCACTCAAATCTTTCTCTAAACTAAGCTCAGACATAGCTCACATATGTACTTGGGACCACTGAAGTGAGTATCCCAGGGGCCCATGCTCATCCTGTATGTGTGTGGGGGTGGGTGGGTGTGAGGGTGCTGGTCTTGGGGCTTGAGCTCAGGCTCTGGGTGCTGTCCTTGAGCATTTTTGCTCAAGGCTGATGCTCTACCACTTGAACCACAGCTCCACTCCTGGCGTTTTTGTAATTTATTGAAGATAAGAGTCTCAAAGACTTTTCCTGCATTGGCTGGCTTCAAGCCACAGTGCTTGGATCATGGCCTTCTGAATAGCTAGGACCATAAGCATGAGGTACTGGCACGCCACTCCATGCTCATCTTTTTAACAGGTGTGGAAGGGGATAGGGAGAGAAGGTATAGCCATGAGTGAGCCACAGGATGAAGTTATAAGCTAGAATATGGCAGAGCAAGCAGGAACTTGGGACTCCATGAAACTGTAGAAGGCCATACAAGTCAGGGGAATGTGTTTGAAGGGCTTTAAGACAGATGTTCAGATTTTTCACTCACTTCCTTCCAACAAGTCATTCAACCAACCTAGGTCTCGCCATGAGAGATAGTTATGAGACCATAAGATGTTTTCAGGTGCCAGATTTAAATGCTTTGGATTCCATTATGAAAACTCTACCTATTACTGGAGTGCTTCTTAGAGACAATATACATATTTATTTTTAACCCTCTGAATTTCTATTTTGGAATCAAGAAGAGGAATCACAGTTCTTCTGGCACTTGCACCATCTACGAAGAGGTAAGATTCTGGAACTCTACAAGCAAGTCTAGAAGGATCCAACCACAAAGGGTACAGTTACAAAAGGGTCATCCATAGAGTCTCAAAGTTGTAGGGATTGCAAGGACCCTCTAAACCAAATGAAGACACAGAAGCTCCATAAGAGTAGAGATCTAACCCAAGTTTACATCATGTGGTTAGATTTGACTAGTAGGTATCTTGGATTCAAAACTAGGGCTTTCCCCAAGCTAGTTTGTAGGCTATGGACTACAAATGGGGTATCTTCCTTGAAAGAGTGCATGTGTGGGGACACAGGGGAGGGTTTAAGAGGGGAAAATAGGATTTTCTTAAGTCAGCTAGTGGTTAGGAATCATTTAGGGAGGTAGGTGAGCTTAAGCTTCTGCTGAGGTGAACACTGATCAAAGTGACCACTGAGCTTGGCCACTGAATTGATTCCCATCTATAAAGCAATCTGCTAGTGTCTTCACATAATGTGATCTTATTAAGTGCTCACAGAATACTATAAGCTAGCTATTATCATACTCCTCTCCTCTCTACCTCCTGTGTTTTGTGCTGCTGTGGATTCAACTCAGGACCTTGCATATCCTAAGTAAGTGCTATACCACATAGCTACGTCCCTAGCCTCTATGCTTTCCATTTATATTGAAAAAAATTAAGGCATGGGAATTACCTTCACCCATTAGCCTCATATGGTATGTAAACCTCCATCTGTATCCAATGAAAGTGTTGTTGAAAGCTGGGCACCAGTGGCTCACACCTAAAATCCTAGCTACTCAGGAGGCTGAGATCTGAGGATTGTGGTTCAAAGCCAGCCCAAGCAGGAAAGTGCATGAAACTCTTATCTCTAATTAAATCACAGAAAACTGGAACTGGTGCTGTGGCTCAAAGTGGTTGAGCACTAGTCTTGAATGAAAAAGCTCAGTGACAGTGCCCAGGCCTTGCATTCAAGCCCACAACCAACAAAAAAATGTCTTTGGCCCCAGAGGAGAGGCTGAGTGGGTACATTCAGGAATCACTAACTCCTGGGTGACATTCCAACATTAGAGTCCAATGTTTAACCCCCTGAGTAGTGCAGGGGGTTAAAGAACATGGTATGGGCCAAGTGATATGAGGGAATACAAAACTGCAGTTTGTAGTTGAAAGAGCACTGGAATTGGAGCAAGAACTGAGTAGAAATTCATATGAAGTAAAAGACTTTAAGCTTCATTTTCTTAATTTATGTGGTGGGGATACTAATCCACATCCTAGGGGAGCATTACAAGGATCTTCAGGTGTGAGGGTCTGAAAGATTCCCCTTTTCTTCTGCAGGTTGGAAATCAATGCCCCAAGGACCATAACCCTTCCTGACTGAGCCACAAGGAGCTGGAGAGCTTTGATATTTACCCCTAAATGTTGCAGCGGATCTTGCCTTCTTTTATACCTGCTCTGGGAATCAACACAACAAATGATGTCATATGTATCTATGTATCTATATGTATCTATGGAACAAACTCGGGAATGGAAATAATACAGAAATGTACTCAGGGTCTATATTTTGTTTAGAAAATGATTTCTAACAGTCCCTACAAGAGCAATTTGTAGACCAGACAAGAATGGGTGGAGAGGTTGAGTTGGTCACATTCTGGCTTATTTTGTCTATAAAGCTCTATGAACATGTAGAGTAGAGATGCCTTCCTTCTATTTCTAACCTGTTCCATTTCTGGGTCCTCCCCTTGCTCAGGATCACCTTCCACAGCAAGGTCAAGGAAAGAGATGGTTACTCCAAGAAAGAGGAAGCCACTTTCCCCCATGAGGCCGTGATTTCCGCTGTTAGTTGGCTGGCAGCTCTTGCTGAAAATCAGAGCCTGGGCTTCACTCAAATGCAGGGGACCCCTCTCCCTCATTTTCACCTTTCCCTTTGGCCAATTGACCATAAGGGGCAGCAAGGCAGGAAAGAGAGGTGATGTAGAACCGGTCCATCTTTGAATAGAAAAATCACCCATAGTACTCACTGTCTTGGTAATTTGGTGATTGAGGCCAAATTTATCTACAGTGTGATGTTTGATTGACAGTGACACATGATTAGATACCTATTTTGTGTTATTTACAGGAGCAGCCTCTTAGCAACCACATTCTATTTAAGTTCTGGGTCTGTCGGATGGTCTCATGGTATACCCTGGAGGGAGGGCTCAGATGTTGAGAGCTGAAGATGAGGCAGACACTATGCTGGGTTCCCTGTGTTTTCAAGCCAACCCCTTCAGCAAGCTGTGGGGATCAAGATTTAGAGTCTAAGACCAAGGAAGAGATAAGGGTAAACTAGGACTTACTGCAGACTCCTGCAGATGCTGCTGCTTAGAAGCTGGTTCTTCAATCATTTCACCTGCATTTAGCATGTAAATTTAATATACAATTTTTAATGTTAAATAGAGGCAGTTTGAATTCTTTGCCTGGATTGAATTTATGCTTCTTCTCTATACTGAATTTTTATCTCTGCAGCAGCCAAAGACACTTATGGGTGATCAATCAACACACATCTGTTAAATTCTGCTGGAAGGGTCTGACTTTGGGGTGGGCTACTAGACCTTGCACACATTGTGGCAACAGAGAACCAGGCACTTGGTTCCATGAGTCTCATGAAGACAGCCAAGGCATGTACTCACTCATGCCCAGTCTCATCCCTCACCTTTGGAAACATGGCCAGACCGGCTTCTTCCTAGAGACAAATGCAGATCACATCTTAAAACAAGTATAAAAAGTGAGAAACCAGATAAATAAATGCCCAAAATAGCTAGGGACTGAGAGAAGTATTGGGGCTGCATTGTAGAGTCAAGGAGTTTGGTGAACAGAGGCAGCAAAAAACAATGGGAGTATGAACACTCTAACCCCAGAGATAGTGACTACTGGCGGTTCAAGTGTTGAATACCATGTAGATCTTGAGATAGCCGGAAATGCTGCATACTATGTGTGTGCAAATTTTAAACCTAGATAATGAGCCAAGCAATGAGCAGTAATTAAGCCACTTACTAAGTATGAAGAACTTCCTGAACCACTGGGAACATCCAGTGAAGACCAGAGAAAACATACTGACTCCAAGGCCATAGAGTATCATGAATAGAAGTCAAACATAGTACATCTTACAGGGAAGGGATTACCTGGCCACAGCTGCAGGGAGAGGACTGATGCTATCACAGGAGACTGTATCTAGACCAAGAAGAAGGGAAGCTCTTTTGGATAAATATGAATATCTTATGTGGAAGAGGTATTTTAAGCACTTTAAGGAACTGTCAAATGAGCAATACACACAGTTGTTTAAAAAATAATCAGCAGTACAGAAAGTCCACAGTAAAAAATATTTTCTCTTGACTTGGGATTCCTAAGTCCTTCCCTAGAGGTAGCTACTGGTAAGACTTTTTTTTGGGGGGGGGGTTTGGTCGTGGGGCCTGAACTCTGGGCCTGGGTGCTGTCCCTCAGCTCTTCAGCTCAAGGCTACTGCGCTACCACTTGAGCCATAGCACCACTTCCGGCTTTTTTTTCTTCTTATGTGGTGCTGAGGAATCGAACCCAGGGCCTCATGCATGCAAAGCAAGCACTCTACCACTAAGCCACCTTCCCAGCCCCCCACTGGTAAGACTTTTAAAAAATATTTTCTTTAAAACTTCTGTATGCTTACACAAGTATATAGACATATCTAACTCAACTATTACCATATAATATAGTATCCTGGGATTATTTTTTTGTATTCAATACTGTATTTTAGAATACGTTACTTATCAGTGTTTGATTTCTCTATAGAAGATAGAACTTGTCATTGCATGCACATAGTATCATGTATTTAGTTAGATTCCACTAAATGGACATTAGTGGACAATAGTCCACTAAATGGATATTCAGGCTATTTTCTACTTGAAAAAAAGTATTACAGCAAACACCATTGATCTTTGTGTCTTGGCTGGATTCATTTTCACAGCTATTTGGACTGTATGAAGGGTGGTTAGTTCACATCCACTCCAACAACATTTGGCTGCCTATGATAGAGTTTTGAGTTGATAGGAGTAAATGCTATGAATATGCAAGAGACAAATAGAGAAATATTTAAAGCCCATAGGCTTCAAGAAGAAGCTTAGTATCTGGAATATTAATGTGCTAAGGAGACCATGCAGGTGACAAGAAGGATAGTGTCACATCCAGGTATGTCTGCCTCAATTTAGGACATTGTGATATACTACCGTCTGCAAGGGCACCAAGGTTTATAAGGTCCTCCTGCTTCTCCAACCCTATGATACCAGGAGAGAGGTAGTAGCTGCTTGTTTTTCAGATAAGATTTTTGTAGAGATTTCAGAAGATGCATCAGCATCCTTGTGATGTGGTACGAACCAAAAGAACACACAAGGGCATAGTTAATAAAACCTTGAAGACTTGTTTCCTCAGCTCTGTATTGGTAGCAAAAGGAAGAAATAATCATGTTCAGTCTAGTGCAGAAGTAGAGTCATGTGAAACAGCCTTCATAGAGTCTCCTAAAGGTTAAGGCTTGGGGATGAATTCTGTGCAGGAAACAGTACATGGATTTACTGCAACAACTCCAAGGGGATTAAGACAATGACAATAAACTGTCTTTAACAAGCTACTGCTCTGTTAGGTTGTGGTGGTATTCTCCTCTAATTCTGCCACTTCAAAGCAGGGGGATTGTGAGTTTGGTGGAAGCAAGACCCTATCTGAAAAAGAATGACAGAGAAGAAGAGGAGCAAAAGAAGCAGCTGCTGCTGAATAATTCAGTCTCTACCTAGACAAATAAAGAACTCAGATGGTAAAGGTAAGGTCCCATAGAGGATCAGACCTTCATGTTACAAAGATTTTGAGGACTATCCATCGAAGAGTTTTCAGGGAAGGCTTTCAAAATCAGATGCTACCTGCTCTGGTACAAGAAGAGGGAGTACCAGCAAGGGAGTGGAGTAAACATTCCCTTAGCTCTTGTGCCAGAAAATAATAACCAAAGTAGATTCAGAAGACAAGGGATAAATTCTATCACGAAATGCATAGATTTTCACTTACACTATAGGTCAGGTGTAAGTTGTGGGTGAGCTTAAGAGGTCTTAAATCTTTGGGTTGGTGTTTCATGTGGAACTAACTGGACATGTGGTGACTCCTGGCTATTCTGAAACTCGGAGCAGGAACTGATGTTCAAGACTTCAAGTGTGGCCAGTTTTGATCCAAACATAAGTGACCAGACCAGAGTGGAAAGCAGTTCTGGAAATCCAGCAAACAGATTTGTCCTCAAGGTTAGAAGTGAAATCCACAGCTGGCTAAACATTATGATGAAGCAAGTGATGATTAAACTCCACTGCCTATCTGAGCAAGAGTTTACTAAGTGTATTCTACCTACCTTCCTCTTTAATTAACATGTGTTGCAATGATTTCTTTTTAAAACTTTTTATTACTTTTTTCTTTCAATTTTATGTCTTTCTTTATTGTTTATATGGTAGCAAAGAATTGAACTCAGGGCCTCTTACATGCTAGGCAAGCACTCTACCACTAAGCTATATTCCCAGACTTGTTGCAATGATTTCTTACTGATTTTTTTTTGTTGGTCATGGGGCTTGAACTAAGCGCTTCAACTCTGGGTGTTGACCCTGAGCTCTTCAGCTCAAGGTTAGCACTTGAGCCACAGCACCACTTGTTGCAATGAATTCTAAGGAAAGAGTTTCAACTAATGCTAATCCTTCCCATTGCTATGAGAAGAAATAAGGTCTTGAAAGAGAAAGAATAGCAATGTGTTACATAATAACAGAGGGATTCTAAGAGTCCCAGGGAATAACCTTGAGTTGGCAAGTGACATTGACCTCAGAAACTCACATTGCCCATTTTTCTTCCAAATTAAAATTGTCTACATAAAAATCCCAAGGACTAGGAACAAAATCACCAGGTTGATCTTTAAATAGGGTCTTTTTGTTTGTGCTGATACTAGGTCTTTTTTTTTTTGTCAGTTGTGGTGCTTGAACTCAGAGCCTGGTAACTGTCCATGAGCCTCTTTGTGATCAAGGCTGGTGCTCTACTGCTTAGGCCACAACACCACTTCTGGCTTCTGAGTGGTTAGTTGGAGATAAAAATCTCACAGGGAATGTTTTGCCTATGCCAAATTTGTTTCACAAACCTCAAATCTCAGCCTCTTGATTAGCTAGGATTACAGGTGTGAGCCACCAGCACCCATCTGATCCTAGATCTTGAAGACTTGCTTAGTTCATTTGCTCAAGTCTGGTGCTCTACCACTTGAGCCCACCTCTACTTCTGGCATTTTGCTGGTTAATTGAAAATAAGAATGTCTTAGATTTGTTTGCTTGGTCTGGCTTTGAACCTTAATCTGTGGATCCCAGCTTTCCTGCATAGCTAGGATTACAGGCATGAGCCATTGGTGCCCAGTTGAGTAAGGTCTTGCTTTTGGCTCAGCCTGGGTTAAACATAGTTCTTCTACTTATGTTTCCCATATAGCTGGGGTGACAGGTGTGTGCCAGAATGCCCAGTTTTTTTTACTGCTTGATATGAAGAGCTTGCAAACTTTTTGCTTGAGTTGATATGGAACTATCTTTCCAATCTCCTCCTCCTAACTAGCAGGATTACAGCCATTAGACATAGTGTTTAGCTCCTACAGAAACCTTTGGGTTGTCTGCCTGTCTGTCTACCTATCTACCTATTTATAGAGAAATACATAGTCACAGAGATAAAGACAGTGAAGTAATAGGATATGGAGGCAAAAAATGGAAAGAGAACTATTTATTAATTATTAGGTATGTTAGAAATATTTATTATATAGATATAATAGTAAAATGTAATAATATAATAGATATAATAAATATTAAAAATATTTATTACAGGAATTGGCTGCAGTAATTATGGGGGGAGTTCCCATAAT